TACCATATTTATCTGGCTAAAATTCCCAAGAGTCCTCTTCTTTCCCAGCAGCATAACAACACCGAAAATACAGACATATTCTAATATCAACATGTTTTTCTGATAGCATGACCACTCAAGGGGTTAAATGTATTTTTTAAATATTCTTAGGCAGGTTTCTTTAAGTAGCATAGGCTGGCTTTGAACTCACAATCCCTTTGCTTCAGCTCCCTAAATAGCTGGAGCTTTAGGCATGTAACTCTGAGGTTTTAAATTATCATTCACGTATGTAAAAAATCTTGAATACTGTAATTACTTACAATTTTGTTTACTAGTATTTCATGTGTGCATGATGTGTGTACATATGTACATGTCATAGTGTGTGTGTGTATATGCACATGTCACTGTGTGTGGAGGTCAAAGGATAGGTGTGGTGTTGGTTCTCTCCTTCTATCTTTAGGTGGGTTCCAGAGTTAGAACCCAGATGGCCAGGCTTGTGAGACAAGTACCTTCATTCACTGAGCCATCTTGATAAAATATTTTAATTCCATCATAAAATAATATTTTATTCTTCTGAAATATCTATATATGAGAAAAATTAAGTTACAGATTAGAGATTATTATTTTAATGCTATTAAATCATCACCAAAGTTTAGGTTATGGACTGTGGTTACAAAACATAATGAAAGATTATATTCTTACAAATGATTTTCCCCTTATTTATTTGTATATTTAATTTTTTAATGTTTATGGATGCTTTGCCTGTGTATATGTTGTACATCAAATGTGTGCAGAGTTCATGGAGTCCAAAAGAGTGTTGTTGGATTCCCTGAGTCCTCTAGAAGAGCAGTCAGTGCTCTTAACCACTGATTTGTCTCTCCAACCCCTTTACAGGTTATTTTAAAAACAACAACACAATTTCATGGAGCTAGAGAGATGGCTTAGCAGTTAAGGGCACTTACTGCTATTGCAGAGCACTGGGATTCAGTTCCCAGTACTCACTTATCAACATTCTATAACTCCAGTTCTAAGGGATCCAATGCACTCTTCTGGCTTCTGTTGGCAATGCAAGCACATGATGCACTTAAATACATGCAGGCAAAACACACATACACTTAAAAATATATATATCCATACTTTCAGATAGTATTCTAGGTGTTCTACAGCTGCTTGATCTCTTGTGGTATACTCAATAACTATTCTCTCTCAATACACACACACACACACACACACACATACAAATATGCATACATATATACATACATGTATATATGTGGGGTATATACATGTGGTATGTTTATATGTGTGTATAGATAAACATATAAAAGTATACAAAATTAACCTTCAAATGTTTTTAAGGATGGTGCAAATAAATACATTTTCTCTCTCTCTCTCTTTTTTGTTTTTTGTTTTTTTTTTGGTTTTTCAAGACAGGGTTTCTCTGTGTAGCTTTAGAGCCTATCCTGGCACTCACCCTGTAGACCAGACTGGCCTCAAATTCATAGAGATCCGCCTGCCTCTGCCTCTCGAGTGCTGGGATTAAAGGCATGCGCCGCCAATGCCCGGCAGACAGACATTCTTTTTTTTTTTTTTTTTTTTTTTTTACGAGACAGGGTTTCTCTGTAATGTTTTGGAGGCAGTCAGTCCAGCCTGGCTTCGAACTCACAGAGATCCGCCTGCCTCTGCCTCCCGAGTGCTGGGATTTAAGGCGTATGCCACCACCGCCCGGCCCTCAGCAGACATTCTTTAAGTTATGATTGCAACATCATCACCATAAACACCACCATCAACATTACTGTGTTTTTTAAAGACAATATTTCACTGTGTAGCCATTCTAACCTGGAACTCATTACACAGTTCAGCTATCATGGAGCTTGCACTGTCCTGTGATAGCCTCATGATGCTGGGATTATAGGCATGAACCATGAGTCAGCACTTTAAAACATTTTCTTTGTGGGCTGAAGAGATGACTCAGTGGTTAAGAGCACTAGGATGCCCTACCAGAGGATTCAGATTCAATTCCCAGCCCTCACATTGCAGCTCATAACCTTCTGTAATGCTAGTCCTAAGGGAAGCTGATACCCTCTTCTGGCCTCCATAGGGTACCAGGCATGTACATGACCCACAGACATACATACAGATAAAATACTCATTCACCTAAAATTAACAGATATTAAAAACACATTATTTTCCACATTAGAGTAAGTTTCTCTGTCTACAATCTGAGTTATAAAATATAGTTTTGAAAGTACGTTTTTCAATAGCAGTGATACTTAGAAAAAATGACCGAATAATTCAATAACAGTGAAGTCATCTGTTAAAAAACACGTTGTATACCTAAATAAATACTTCATAGAGATAGATTTATGTCTTCCAGTGCTCTTGCCCTAGCTTGATCTAGACACCACAATTTGTACAAAGATCTCCAGCTAGCTTATTACATCAACCACAGCATCAAATCTCCTGTAAGTAAATTGAATGGCATGGAAAAGACTTCCTTGGAAGAAAACTAATGGTGCTTAAAAGAATTTTGTTTTTGAGACAGAATCTGACTATATAGCCCTGGTGGGCACCAAATTCACAGAGCTCCTCCTGCCTCTGCCTCCTCCTCATGATTTAAGGTGCTTGGCGCCACTCTCAGGTTTAAAACGTTATATATAATATTAGAGCTCCATGAGTTTTACAAACTTCTTGAAAGCATGTAGAGCTTTTATTGTAAAATGTTACCATGACCCACCAAGGAATGAAGCAAGTTCCCTAGGCATAGGTTATAATCTACAGTGGATGCTGCAAGACACTTAATCTTCAACAGCTATCTCATATTGCCTGAGGCACTTACCCTGTGCATGGTTACTGCCACCAAGTCCCACTGGTCCCTTGGTAGTGCTGCTGAGATATTTACTGTACAGCTGATTTTGTCCTTCAGCTTCACCAAATGAGGCAAAATGTCAAGGGACACTAATTGTTTTTTCTCAGAGCACAGTTATGAAGTGCTACTCTCCATACCCAGTGTGTTCTTATTTTGTCCTGCTGGAGTGTTAATATATCTTTATTTTCTTTAAGCATACCTGTCTACTTGACATTACTTTGATGCCTTGATTATTAAAAAGTATAATGCAGTGTGATACTTAAATCTTGATTATATCAGAAGTCAAGTAAAGCACTTATCCAGGGAGGTCTGGTCTATGAGGACATTTCAAACCAGGATTGGCTTTGGGGAGAGACACCTCTTTGGGGTAGTTCAAACATAAAGAGGGTCCACGAAAGATCCGTGTTTAGTCCAAATGCAATGGTAAATTCAATTTCTGGGACACAAGTTTTATTGAGATTGTAAAAAAATGTTGCTAGTGGGGCACGCGAACTTGATTGAAAAGCAGTGATTGGAGACAAGCGGCCAAACAATCAAGATTTTCATAAGAAAAAGGAAACCAGTCCTTCTTTAATGTTGTTTATTCACCTCCAGCAAGACTGCCTCTACTCTTCTATTAACTAGTTTGAAAGGGTACATAGTCCATCATGGCAGGGATGTGTGTGTGTGTGTGTGTGTGTGTGTTTGAGCATGTGAATGCAGGTCCCTGACAAAATCAGAGGTGTTGGGTCCCCCTTGGAGTTGGAGTTACAAGCAATTTTGAGCTACCCCATGTAGATACGGGGAATTGGATTCATATCCTCTGGAAAAGCAGTTTATGTTCTCAACCATTGGGTTGTCTCTCCAGTCCAGCTATGATTACTTTTGATTGTTCATTGGGAGTTGAAATTAAAAATAAGTAGTCACATGATTTTTTTTATTTTATAACTAGGTAAGTTTGGAAAATACTTCCTCCATCTGTACCTGAGTGAAGTCAGGTGAATATAACAACAAACAGTCTCATAGAAACACCTGAAGTCAAAGACTGTGGGCAGAGGAATTCCTAGTGGCAGGAAAAGACCTTAGTGTTGTGGACAGGTTAGATAACTAAGAATCAATTGTCCTAATCACCATGTGTCAGAACTGCTCCTGCTTCAGTGAATCACTGTGCAGGCAGTGAGAGGATGAAATAGATGTGCCAGAATAATCTAATTCTCTTTCTGGGCTGCATATATCTTTGGAAAATCCTGCCAAGCTTTGCTTCGGAGAATGACAACCTCAGCACTGTGCAGCATCTGTTGATGCTCCTGATGTGAACTCAGTCTATATCAGAGTCACTACTGGCTCCTGGATTCAATGAAAAATGCTTGTTAAAATTTCCAGGAGTCATCAGTCAACTTAAACTCACTTCTTGTGAATGTCTTGGATGTGGTCTCACAGGGAATACTGTGAGACCTCCAAGGAGCACCTTCGATGACGTAAACAAACTGCAGTCATGGGAATACCTTTGCAGCAATTCATTAGTGAGCTGCTGCTCCTTCTCCAGAAGGTAACACTGCTGAGAGGTGGGGAAGAAGACTTCGTGGCAAGCAGCGATGTTCTTCTACAGGCAGCAGAAAGAGAAAAGTATGTGGCCAGTTGGTGGTGCTTTAAAAACGAGTTTTCTCCATCTGAAGCTGACTTGGAACATTGCTACTCTGGAGATATTCCTGCCTCAGTCTCCTGAGTGCTGAGATGACAAGTTTGCACCACCATGCCTATCTGGCATGTCTTTATTTAGTAAGTATTTATTGACCTCTATTATGTTCTAGACATGGTGTATATAACCCCCCAAGAATGTTCTGATCTTTCATTATGGTGTAGGAAACATACTAGAAAAGTGAATGTGTACAGAGATATTTTAAGATGGCGGTGTACAAAGTGCCAAGCAGGCCTTATTACAAACATAGTGACATCCCTTTGTGTCTGTGGGTTTTGCACCTGTGGATTTAGCCAACATGGGATCAAAAATATTGGAAGAAAAAATGCATTTGTATTGAACATGTACAAGCGTTGCCCCTTTCCATCATTACTTAAAGTGCACAACACAGTGCCTACTTACATAACATTTATATTGTATTGAATAGAAGACACAATCAAGGGTTGACTGAGAATATAAGGGAGAATGCACAGGTTATATGTGAATGCTATACCACTTTATTATATAAGGTACTTGAGCAGTCACAGATATCCCCAAGGGTTCTTGGACTCTGAGAGGTGGCTGTACTTATGATTATTTGCATTCTTTTCAAGATTCCTATTGATGCTGAGGCAACAGTTTGCTTCAATTATGTTCTTATCTATGAAAGTAAAATTTACAAAAAAACTTAAATTTCAATTACTTTTGAAAGTTCATTTCTTTCTTAAAGAATGAGAAAATATGAATGTTCATGTGCAAACAGCTCACAGTGTCAGTAAAGAATATGCCATCACGTTGGGCGTTGGTGGCACAGGCCTTTAATCCCAGCACTTGGGAGGCAGAGGCAGGTGGATCTCTGTGAGTTCGAGGCCAGCCTGGTCTACAGAGCTAGTTCCAGGACAGCCTCCAAAACAATACAGAGAAACCCTGTCTCGAAAAAAAAAACCAAACAACCAAACAACCAACCAAACAAACAAAAGAATATGCCATCAATACTTAGTACCACAACTTTTACACAAGAGCAGGTCTCAACCGGGTGAGGGTCTAATAGTTTTGGATATTCTTGCATCCCTAAATAACTTAAAACTTCATCCATGATTTCTTGAATTGTTTTTTATCTACTTGCTCATTATTTTCATCCCTTATAAGGGAGTTGGAGGTGAGAGGATGATGATGATGATGATGATGTGATTATGTGTGTCCGGTGGGTTATTTGTATATAAAAATGGCATGCTGAGAGTGTAAGGATGGGTGTTGTGTCTAAGTTGAAGGTAGCATCAGATGTATGAGTGGCTGTGAATGTGAATGAGAGTATGAGTGTGTATGTGAATGTGTGTGTATGTGTGTGTTGTGAGTGTATTTTCCTACAGGAGTTGACACATAAGAGGAAAATCAGTATGACATCCATCAACTATTGTCCAGTGCGTGCATCTCTTTCTGCTCCTGTCACAAAATCCCAAGGGGCCATGAGAAAACGGTCCTGTTAGCTTGAAGCAATTGCCCTAGAAACTCATTAAAATAAAAAGGGTTCTTGGGGAAATGGATCAGCTCTTAGAGGTTAGGCTCACAACCAAAACATCAAGGATGGATTCTCAAACTGTTACTTCTTCAAAGATTTATTTATTCAGGCTGGGTTTTATTGTTTTTTTTTGTTTGTTTGCTTTTGCTTTGTTTTCCTTAAAGGAAGCTGGGAGAAAAGCTGTTTACAGCTAAGATAATTTAAATCCCTCAATAAAAAATTTAAATGTTGAAAGGGAAAACCTTTTAAAGAAAAGTTAAACTTTACCATTAGTTATACAGTTAGTTTCAAGTTAAACACACTTTGTTGCAGGATATTTTATCACACTGTGAAACCCAAGATTGTGTTATTTACCTGTTTCTAGTTGTGTGTGGTTCAGCCCTAGCACACACCTTTAATCCAAGAGTCTTCTGATTACTGTAAACAAGATTAAATAAAATCAACAATAGGTCAAGAGGCAGAACAAGCAACTAAATTGACAGGAAAAAAAAAACAGAGAGTAAGAGGGAGGCAGGAGTGTGGATAGAGAGACACAGAGGAAGTAGAAGGGAGGGATATTGATTTTGAGGAGTCTTGCTTGAGATGGTGAAGGAGGAGGATTGGGATGTTAGCAAAGGAGGAAGGTCAGCGGATGCCTTCTCTGCTTCTCTGAGCTAGCAGGTTTTCATCCCAGCATCCGGTTCCTGATTCTCTATAGGTAAAATTGAATGATTGAGATTTTGATAAAAACAACAGTGTTCACTCCCAGTATTGCTTTAAAGTGTGATTTTAAGACAAATAGTTGACACAATTTTCTTTTTCATTTTTTTGAAGTACTGATGGGCCTCTGAAAGAAATCAAAAGTTAATTTCGCATATTTTAGTTCATAACAATTTTTAGGGTAATGTTTTTATGCCTTTCTATTCTCTCTTTTTTTTTTTTTACGAGACAGGGTTTCTCTGTATTGTTTCGGAGGCTATCGGTCCAGCCTGGCCTCGAACGCACAAAGATCCGCCTGCCTCTGCCTCCCGAGTGCTGGGATTAAAGGCGTGCGCCACCATCGCCCGGCCGCCTTTCTATTCTCTTAATTTGTTAATTGAGTGTGCCACCCTTTTACATTGTTTGATTTTTACCTACATGAGACTATTAATCAAATAATCTATTTCTTGAGATAAACAGTAGTTTTCACTGAGTTTTACCTTAATGAAATTTGACACTCTAAGAAACAGACATCTGTGACCTCTTGAGTGAAATTTGTAGGACATTTTCTTCTGAAAAACTTGGAAAAGCTTTTAGGAACCAGGATCATTTAAAACTGAGTATTATTTCACTAAGAGGAACATCAGAAGTTACATTTGTTATGCTAGCAAGTGTGTAATCAAGCTGGGGGCCTTAGGAAGGAGTATTGTTCAAGGCCGGCATGGACTACACAATGGACTGTCTAAAAAAATACTGTGAGTCTGGAAATCTCCATATCGATATTGTCAGTTGACACAAACACCCTGGGTGACATTTATGATACTGAAATGTGAAGTGTGTAGACTTTAGTATTCTACTTATGTTCTTGCTACAACTCTCCTTCTATTTCCTTTTTCTAAACTCCACAGAATTGAAGTCATTTAGTTCATCTAGTGTTTCTGTGTGCATGGATTGTAGCAGAGCCACCAAATTCTAAGAAATGAGTAAACAAAATTACCTTAGCCCCAAATGGACTTTACAAGACACATGCAGGTTCAGGATTGGCATTGAGGCTGACCTATTTTAACTCCATAGTTCTCTACCCCAGTCATCTAGACTTGATTTTCAGTTTTTACTGAAAGGTCAGAGGTTTCCCTCTCAGATAACAAATGTGCCAGTTAGCATTCTGGAGCTTTGAAACACTGATGGACATTATCTAAATATTATCCAGGGTAGCATCACTCACACTAGAAACAGCCACAATCATTTACCTCTTATTATAAGACCAGGAGGACATGTCACTGCTGCAGTCGTTACAAATGACATTGAGATCACGACACAGCTCTCCTTTACTTTGCTTCTAACATTTTGGCCCTCTTGACATGGTGTCTTCAAGAAGTAGCTATACAGTTGAAAATGCCTGGCTCCCGAATGCTGATTACTGCCTAGTGTCTCTCTGAACACAAGTGAAACATCTGACAGAGTTGTGGGCTAAGGGAGTTTCACTTACTTCTTCCTTAGTCTTTGGTGGCGCTGGTACAATGCTTGGCACGCAGAAGCAGATGATTAAATATTTGTTACATGAGAAAGCAAATGTGTGAAGTTACATTCACTTGTGCTTAGCTGAGTCAGGCGACCTAAATAACTGTGAAGAATCCCAACAGATGGAAGAGGAAGCAAGTTAAGCTAGGAAATTTGCATATGAGTTATGCATGCTGCTTGATGAGCTCATTAGATGATTCAGAAACTGTTTTCTCAGTGTTCCTATACTGAGTCAGATGTCGGTAAGGGCAAAACTTATCTCTTTCCAGCAATTTTCTTTAAAGAAAAAAAGAAACAATCATGAAAATAGAGTGTGCTCACTTCAGAAAAATCTGAGCACTCCTCACAGCTATGCTTAAAGACTACTTAAGTCCCTGTGATCTCACCAACTAGTGATGTCACAATACAGTGGGAACATCTCTGTAGTGTCATCAATGATTGTCTAAAAGTGACTTTAGTGATGTGATTGTTCTCTTGGCACACACACCAATGTCCCTTCATTAAGCTGATGATCTTCTGTCATTGGACATGCAAACAGTTTCCAAATGTTCCCTTTGATTTTATAAGCATAACTTTAAATGCATCCCTAACACGTTCCATACTCAAAAGTCCTAAATATAGTCCTTCATAAGGATATAAAAAGGCCAGAAAAGATATACCACATTTATATAAAATAGCTTACAAGTAGAAATCTCTACGTTATTCTAAAAGTAACATATAGTCACAATATATTTTCAAAATTCCACGGGAATTTTGAGAGCTGTGAGAAACAGTTTGTAATACATACAAAGAATAGCAGATATTTTGAGCTCTGCTACACCCCATAAGTTGCAAAGTTAATTGCAACCTGAGACATAACCTCTGACACTAAGAGACACATGAAAGGGAACCATTGTGTACTTGGCATAGATAAGGTATTAGGGAGGGCAGTCTGAAAAGCACACTGTCAGTACAGAAACTTATAGGTTTAAAACATAAAGACAGACATTTGTTTTTTTCAAAGAAGACTGTCATAAAGCTAGTTGACAGGAAACAGCTAAGTAGAGGATATGCCAGCCTGGAATGATAGCACACTTTGGAGAGGGGGGATGGAAGACCAGGGATTTGAGGTTACCCTGGGATACAAAGCAAGGTCTAGGCCAGCCTGAGTTATAGGAGAGCTTGTCTCAGAAAAAAAGCTTGTCTGTCATCTCTAACGTTCTAGAGGTATACAGAAAATACAGAGAATTTCTGTAAATTAATAAATAAAAGACAGGTCAGGTGGTGGTGGTACACACCTTTAATCCCAGCACTCAGGAGGCAGAGGCAGACAGATCTCTAAGCCTTAACGAGGCACATGAAGGTTCAGGATTTGGCTTTTAGGCTGACCTATTTTAACTCCGTATTTCTCTACCCCAGTCACCTTAGACTTGGTTTTTACTTTTCTCTGGCTGCCTCTAACTTGGAATTCGTTCCCCTGTGTTGCCACCTATAAAACTGCTTTTTACTCCTCACCACTTTTGAGAACTTCTCTGATTCCCTTACTTCCTCTAACATCTTGTAGCATAGACTTGATACAACCTTACTGCTGTCTTTGTTTTTTTAAGTCATTTCTTGCAGAGGTTAAGATGGTATCTTGGTTGCTGCCTATACTAAATACTGTATTTCTGGCCTCACTGGATAGGAAAAAATGTAATTTAAAGCACCCAGGTTCTGAAAAACACAGTACTACACTTTCACTCACCTACTCTGTCCACTTGGAGAAAGCTAGTTTTCTTTTTTTGGTTTCTTGAGACAGGCTTTCTCTGTGTAGCCCTGCCTGTCCTGAAACTTGCTTTGTGGATCAGGCTGGCCTTAAACTCAGAGATCCTCCTCTGCCTCTTGAGTGCTGGGGTCAAAGGCATGTGCCACTACTGCTTGCAAGAAAGCTGATTTTATTAATTCCCATGATGTCTTTCAGTCATCAAGCTTTGCATCTCAGGCTAGGCTCCCCTCTGAATCTGCCTGTTCCTACAGGGTACCCTAAGAAACAGCACAGTGTCTGTTTTAAAAGGACAGGGAAGTCAAGGCCTAGAATTACCTAGTAAAGCTTCTGGGCATGCTCATGAGGAACTATTTAGATTAGATTAGTGGAGATGGGAAGACCCACCAGAATGTGGGTGGTATCATTTCATGCTTTGGAGTCCCAGATGGAATAAACTGACTACAAGTGCTCATCTCTCTCTGCTTCTGGACTGCAGATGCAGTGTGACCATCACTATGTCTACCATGATGGCCTCTTCCTTTGACTAGGAGCTGAAATACACCCTTCCTTCCTTAAGTTCCTTTGATGGTGTTTTAATGACAGCATCAAGACAAGTAACTTACTATTATGAGGAGGAGGGGAAAGCTTGATCGGTTTAACTCTAAGGAGTCTGAGATTCATTGTTAGTGGGAGGGGAAGCTAATGCAATGTTTTGAACAGGGAAATGTATGTTTTTGGTAGTATGGGTTTTGAAGGGAGTGTGGATTTCAAGTGGGCAAGGGTAGAAGCAAGGAGACAGATGCCTTAGCTCAAGTGGGATCTGAGTGTGGAGATCTGTTTCTGTCAGCATGTTATGAAATCTGGAGATCTTGTATTATATGGGAGGTGAATAAAGAAAGGGACTAAGGATGTATTAGGTTTTATCTTGAGAAACTCAATGGGTAAGATGACTCTAGCCCTGATGAACTCCTGGGAGAACACGAATAATCACTTTACATGTAGCTTGTTCTTTGGTTTGAATTCCTAGGAAATTTGTTGTGTTTGGATTTTTGCTTTATTTTTGTGATTATAATATAGTTACAAATTTCTGCTATCCCCTTCCTCCCTCGAATCCATCCCCCCCATGCACCCCTCCTTTCTTCCTCTCAAATACATGGCTCCTTTCTCCCCTAATTGTTGGCACATGCATATATATGTGTATATGCTATAAACACATTCCTAAATATAACCTGTTCAGTCTGTTTAGTGTTACTAATACATATATTTTCAGAGATTTTGAAGAGATAGTTTCACTAAGAGCTCTGGAAAAGGCTTTTTTCTGCTTTTAGGGGCCTCCTGATGTTCTCTAGAGCAAATGATACCCTCTTACCTCCCATACCTCATCACCCTCTGCTGTTACATCCTACTTATCAGTGTTGTTTTTAGAATGCTTCTTAGAATAGACATGGTATTCTGAGTGTGGGTGGGAATGACAGTGCCCTTAAGCTGTTACCTTTTTTGATGTAGAAGCTGCTCTTATTTGTGTTTCTCAGTTTGTGGTAAGATAATAATTCTGGAACATTTCCCCTCTTGGGGTGATATTGTGACAATTCTTCCTACAATTTTATACTCACAGAATTGTATATTTATTGAGTATGACTGGTCTATAATGCTACAATATCATTCAGACTAACATTTTGTAGATAGGAAACTCAGTTCCAATTATAATGTTATACTCTATCTATATAGAATGTTATAAATGTAATAATATTTTATTTATCATTAGTATCTTCATGCATTTGTATGCAAGGCTGTGTATGTTTCTAGGGGCACATGTACATGTGTGTTTACACACACACACACACACACACAAGCATGAGAAGGCTAGAGGTTGATGTTAGATGTGGTTCTCCTTTGCACTCCACCTTAGTTTTTGAGATGTCTCACCCAAAACTTACCAATTCAGCTAGATAAGCTGGACAGAGAGCTTCAGGAGTCTGCTTGTCTCCATCCTACCCAGTGCTGGGGTTACAGACATGTGCTACTCCACTCATATTTGTTGCTTTACATGGACACCAGGAGTCTAAACTCAGGTTCTCATGTTTTTTTAGCAAGTCTGATATCTCCCCCATCTCATTTGTTATTTAAAATTAAATATTGGGCCTGTTTAGAAAAGCTAAAGGCTAATGAGATCATTTGCAACTAAGTCATTTATGGCAGTAACTATAACCCTCCCATTCCTTCTCAAGTTTGAACAATTCTAGGGCAAAAGGACATTCTCCTCTTACTTTTGAGGGTGAGGATGTGTATTTACATAGGACTTTACTTAATGCTTCATAGTCAAGAGCCTTGCCTGGGCCTGGGTCTAGACCCTCTGGAGCTGATCTATTGTGACATTTGCTTTATTTTTTTCACTATTACATTTTTATCTGAACCTACTAGGTCATCCTAGAGTTCATTCCATCTTCTAAAAACTGTTCCAGTCTGATGGGAGCTGTCATTCTGTAAATCTGTCTCTTATTGGTTGTTGAATAAAGCGCTGTTGGACAATAGGGAAGCAAGATAGGTGGGACTAGGAGTCAAGGAGGATGCTGGAAAAGAGAGACACAGGCAGACACAATGTAGCCACCAGAAGAGTAGAAGGTTCAGACCCTTTCTCCGGTAAGAGGAATACTTAGATTAACAATTATGGGTTAAATACTTAAGTCAGAGCTAGCCAGTAAGAAACAAGCAAATGACCAACAGCTTCATAATTAATATAGTGTTCTGTGTGTTATTTGGGGGTTCAGACAGTGCAGCAAGGCCTAGGTGACTGGCGAGGAAGACTACACTCTACACCAGTCCACAAAGTACTTATTTTTATATCTAACACAATTTTAAAAAAGATTTATTTATTTATTACATACACAGAATTCTGTCTGCATATATGCCTGCACACATGAAGAGAGCACCAGATCTCATTGTAGATGGTTATGAGCCATCATGTGGCTGCTGGGAACCAAACTCAGGACCTCTGGAAGAGCAGTCAGTGCTCTTAACTGCTGAGCCACCTCTCCAGCCCTATATCTAACACAATTTACAGTTTGATTCTATATACATTATATGTATGAATTTCATCAGATAGATTCTGAGGATTTACCTCATCTTTTGTCCCAACACCTAACTCTCATAATCTGACATGGTCACTCCAGATTTGGTTAAAGCCAATAGCTTATAGCTAGCTGCTGCTTGCAAGACCATAAATCCAAGCCACTTACCTTTCATAATGGCAAATAAACACCAAGCTGAAAATAAATAACTAAAACAAGCTTAATGCAATCAGTGCCAATATCCTCTCTCACTATAACACCAGAAGAGCAATCTATTTTCTAATTATAGCTTGAAACTAAATTGGGATATTTGTGGTAGGAGTATGAACATTTTTATGAAACTATTGTTAACTTAGGGTAATTTATTGAGTTTGCCTTTGGTTGTTCAAGGGGTGGGGTGAGAACACACACACACACACACACACACACACACACACCACTCACACAGGCACACACTAAACAAAAATGAAACAATCTATTTACTAAGTATCAGCTTCCTAAACACCACAACTGTAGGATGATTCTTATACCTAGTCAGGTCTTCTAGTCAGGTCTAAATACTGCTTCCTCCCATTTCTCTCTAGATAAATTAACACATTATCTCATTTCTGTTTCATCTCTTTGTTACAGATGGTGACAACCTTCTGATCTAACAAGTTACTCATGCCTCCCAACCTGTTTCC